CAACGTCGGAGCGACCAGCAACAAACAGCGCGACTGACCACGTGGTCCCTCGCCCACGTGGTCCCTCGCCCACCCACAGCGGGGACCGCGCGTGGAGCTCGCGGCGCGGTGCAGTGCGCAGGAGTGGCCACGTGGTGGCGCTGTCCCGACACGCACGGCAACGACGTCTCTGTGGGTCTCTGTGTGTGTCTATGGGTCTCTGTGTGTTTCTGTGGGTCTCTGTGTGAGTCTGTGGGTCTCTGTGTGGGTCTCTGTGTGGGTCTCTGTGTGTGTCTCTGTGTGTGTCTGTGGGTCTCTGTGTGGGTTTCTGTGTGGGTCTCTGTGTGGGTCTCTGTGTGTGTCTGTGGGTCTCTGTGTGTGTCTGTGGGTCTCTGTGTGAGTCTGTGGGTCTCTGTGTGTGGGCCTCTGTGTGGGTCTCTGTGGGTCTCTGTGGGTCTCTGTGTGTCTCTGTGTGTGGGTCTGTGTGTGTCTGTGGGTCTCTGTGTGAGTCTGTGGGTCTCTGTGTGTGGGTCTCTGTGTGTCTGTGGGTCTCTGTGTGTGTCTGTGGGTCTCTGTGGGTCTCTGTGTGTCTCTGTGTGTGGGTCTGTGTGTGTCTGTGGGTCTCTGTGTGTGGGTCTCTGTGTGGGTCTCTGTGGGTCTCTGTGGGTCTCTGTGTGTCTCTGTGGGTCTCTGTGGGTCTCTGTGTGGGTCTCTGTGTGGGTCTGTGTGTGTCTGTGGGTCTCTGTGTGAGTCTGTGGGTCTCTGTGTGTGGGTTTGTGTGTGTCTGTGGGTCTCTGTGTGTGTCTGTGGGTCTCTGTGGGTCTCTGTGTGTCTCTGTGTGTGGGTCTGTGTGTGTCTGTGGGTCTCTGTGTGTGTCTGTGGGTCTCTGTGTGGGTCTCTGTGTGGGTCTCTGTGTGTGTCTGTGGGTCTCTGTGTGTGTCTCTGTGTGTGTCTGTGTGGGTCTCTGTGTGGGACTCTGTGTGTGTCTGTGGGTCTCTGTGTGTGTCTGTGGGTCTCTGAGTGTGTCTGTGGGTCTCTGTGTGAGTCTGTGGGTCTCTGTGTGTGGGTCTGTGTGTGTCTGTGGGCCTGTGTGTGGGTCTGTGTGTGTCTGTGGGTCTCTGTGTGGGTCTGTGGGTCTCTGTGTGTGTCTGTGTGTGTCTGTGGGTCTCTCTGTGTGGGTCTGTGGGTCTCTCTGTGTGGGTCTGTGGGTCTCTGTGGAGGTCTCTGTGTGTGTCTATGGGTCTCTGTGTGTGTCTGTGGGTCTCTGTGTGGGTCTCTGTGTGTCTGTGGGTCTCTGTGTGTGTCTATGGGTCTCTGTGTGGATCTGTGGGTCTCTGTGTGTGTCTTTGTGTGTGTGTCTGTGTGTGTGTCTGTGTGGGTCTCTGTGTGGGTCTCTGTGTGTGTCTGTGGGTCTCTGTGTGGGTCTCTGTGTGGGTCTCTGTATGGGTCTCTGTGTGTGTCTGTGGGTCTCTGTGTGGGTCTGTGGGTCTCTGTGTGTGTCTGTGGGTCTCTGTGTGGGTCTCTGTGTGTGTCTGTGGGTCTCTGTGTGTGTCTGTAGGTCTCTGTGTGGGTCTCTGTGTGGGTCTCTGTATGGGTCTCTGTGTGTGTCTGTGGGTCTCTGTGTGGGTCTGTGGGTCTCTGTGTGTGTCTGTGGGTCTCTGTGTGGGTCTCTGTGTGTGTCTGTGGGTCTCTGTGTGGGTCTCTGTATGGGTCTGTGTGTGGGTCTCTGTGGGTCTCTGTGTGAGTCTCTGTGTGGGTGTCTGTGGGTCTCTGTGTGGGTGTCTGTGGGTCTCTGTGTGGGTCTCTGTGTGTGTCTGTGGGTCTCTGTGTGGGTCTTTGTGTGGGTCTCTGTGTGGGTCTCTGTGTGGGTCTTTTTGTGGGTCTATATGTGGGTCTGTGGGTCTCTGTATGGGTCTCTGTGTGGGTCTCTGTGTGGGTCTCTGGGTCTCTGTGTGGGTCTTTGTGTGGGTCTGTGTGTGGGTCTCTGTGTGGGTCTCAGTGTGGGTCTCTGTGTGGGTCTATGGGTCTCTGTGTGGGTCTGTGTGGGTCTCTGTGTGGGTCTCTGTGTGTCTGTGGGTCTATGTGTGGATCTTTGTGTGGGTCTGTGTGTGGGTCTCTGTGTGGGTCTCAGTGTGGATCTCTGTGTGGGTCTGTGGGTCTCTGTGTGGGTCTCTGTGTGATGAGTCTGTGGGTCTCTGTGTGATGAGTCTGTGGGTTTCTGTGTGATGAGTCTATGGGTGAATGTGTGATGAGTCTGTGGGTATCCGTGTGATGAGTTTGTGGGTCTCTGTGTGTGTCTGTGGGTCTCTGTGTGGGTCTCTGTGTGTGTCTGTGGGTCTCTGTGTGAGTCTGTGGGTCTCTGTGTGTGTCTGTGGGTCTCTGTGTGGGTCTCTGTGGGTCTCTGTGTGGGTCTCTGTATGGGTCTGTGTGTGGGTCTCTGTGGGTCTCTGTGTGAGTCTCTGTGTGGGTGTCTGTTGGTCTCTGTGTGGGTGTCTGTGTGGGTGTCTGTGGGTCTCTGTGTGGGTCTCTGTGTGTGTCTGTGGGTCTCTGTGTGGGTCTTTGTGTGGGTCTCTGTGTGGGTCTCTGTGTGGGTCTTTTTGTGGGCCTCTATGTGGGTCTGTGGGTCTCTGTGTGGGTCTCTGTGTGTGTCTGTGGGTCTCTGTGTGGGTCTTTGTGTGGGTCTGTGTGTGGGTCTCTGTGTGGGTCTCTGTGTGGGTCTGTGGGTCTCTGTGTGGGTCTGTGTGGCTCTCTGTGTGGGTCTCTGTGTGTCTGTGGGTCTCTGTGTGGATCTTTGTGTGGGTCTGTGTGTGGGTCTCTGTGTGGGTCTCTGTGTTGGTCTCTATTTGTGTCTGTGGGTCTCTGTGTGGGTCTCTGTGTGTGTCTGTGGGTCTCTGTGTGAGTCTGTGGGTCTCTGTGTGTGTCTGTGGGTCTCTGTGTAGGTCTCTGTGGGTCTCTGTGTGGGTCTCTGTATGGGTCTGTGTGTGGGTCTCTGTGGGTCTCTGTGTGAGTCTCTGTGTGGGTGTCTGTTGGTCTCTGTGTGGGTGTCTGTGTGGGTGTCTGTGGGTCTCTGTGTGGGTCTCTGTGTGTGTCTGTGGGTCTCTGTGTGGGTTTTTGTGTGGGTCTCTGTGTGGGTCTCTGTGTTGGTCTTTTTGTGGGCCTCTATGTGGGTCTGTGGGTCTCTGTGTGGGTCTCTGTGTGTGTCTGTGGGTCTCTGTGTGGGTCTTTGTGTGGGTCTGTGTGTGGGTCTCTGTGTGGGTCTCTGTGTGGGTCTGTGGGTCTCTGTGTGGGTCTGTGTGGCTCTCTGTGTGGGTCTTTGTGTGTCTGTGGGTCTCTGTGTGGATCTTTGTGTGGGTCTGTGTGTGGGTCTCTGTGTGGGTCTCTGTGTTGGTCTCTATTTGTGTCTGTGGGTCTCTGTGTGGGTCTCTGTGTGGGTCTGTGGGTCTCTGTGTGGGTCTCTGTGTGATGAGTCTGTGGGTCTCTGTGTGATGAGTTTGTGGGTATCTGTGTGATGAGTTTGTGAGTCTCTGTGTGAGTTTGTGGGTCTATGTGTGATGAGTCTATGGATCTCTGTGTGAGTTTGTGGGTCTCTGTGTGAGTCTATGGGTCTCTGTGTGATGAGTCTATGGGTTTCTGTGTGAGTCTATTGATCTCACAATCAGAATGTTTATTCATACTTGAGGAAGCCGTTGAGCTTTCAAGCTCGTTTTGTCCCACATCTGAATCCAGGATCGTAGCGTTGCCGACTCGATAATTTATGCTAATTTGAGGTAATTGCAACCATGAGCTAACGAACCGGCATTACCGGATGTCAAACCTACATTCTTTATTAATTTAATTATAATGAGCCCCGGCGTGACGTCACAAGGAGCCCGGCCTGACCCTGACGCGTGGTGCTGTCAATCACGGAGGGGGAGAGGGGGGCAGGGAGGGAGAGGGGGGGGAGAAGCGGCGAGAGAAAATCTCACACAGTGAGTGGGAGGGAGGACACGGGGAGAGACACAGAGAGAGAGAGAGGCACAGACACACAGAGACACACAGAGAGACACAGAGACACACAGAGAGACAGAGAGAGACATACACAGAGAGAGGCACAGAGACACACAGAGAGACACAGAGAGAGACAGAGAGAGACACAGAGAGAGAGGGGCACACAGAGAGAGGGGCACACAGAGAGAGAGAGACGGGCAAAGAGAGAGAGATACACACAGAGAGAGGGGCACACACACACAGAGAGACACAGAGAGTCAGAGAGGGGCACAGAGAGAGAGGGGCACACACACAGAGAGAGAGGGATACACAGAGAGAGACACAGAGAGAGAGGGGCACACAGAGAGAGGGGCACACAGAGAGAGGGGCACACAGAGAGAGAGACGGGCAAAGAGAGAGAGATACACACAGAGAGAGGGGCACACACACACAGAGAGACACAGAGAGAGAGGCACAGAAAGAGAGAGGCACACAGAGAGAGATACACACAGAGAGAGAGAGAGGCACACAGAGAGAGGGGCACACACAGAGAGAGATACACACAGAGAGACACAGAGAGAGAGAGGCACACAGAGAGAGATACACAGAGAGAGAGAGGCACACAAGAGAGAGAGGGGCACACAGAGAGAGAGGGGCACAGAGAGAGAGGGGCACAGAGAGAGAAGGGCACAGACACACTCACACAGACACACTCACACAGACACACTCACACAGACTCACACACAGACACACTCACACAGACACACTCACACAGACACACTCACACAGACTCACACACAGACACACTCACACAGACACACTCACACAGACACACTCACACAGACACACTCACACAGACACACTCACACAGACTCACACACAGACACACTCACACAGACACACTCACACAGACACACTCACACAGACACTCACACAGACACACTCACACATACACACTCACACAGACACACTCACACAGACACACTCACACAGACACACTCACACAGACACTCACACAGACACACTCACACAGACACACTCACACAGACACACACTCAGACACTCACACAGACACACACTCAGACACTCACACAGACACACTCACACAGACACACACTCAGACACTCACACAGACACACTCACACTCAGACACTCACACAGAGAGTGAGAGACGGAGTGACCAATACTCTAGGGCAGAGGGACCCGGTCGGGTCTCCACCCCGACACCGCGAGAAGGCAGCCTGCGAGGAGGTGGACGAGGTGGACGAGGTGGGTGACGTTGACGCTCGTCGTCTTGTTCTATTGCACTTGCCGGTCTGCGTGTGAACACATCCGCACTGGGGGAGACAAAGGCGGCTGGGCGCCTTTGTCTTCACGGACGCTGCTGATACTCGCAACAGTGTGGGTGGGCTATACGGGGAATCTTTGTCTTTATCTTTAATTGTGTGTGCACGTGTGTGTGTGTGCACGTGTACATGTGTGTGTGTGTGGTGCTGGCCACCCAGGTCGACTCAGCCTCAAATGAGTACCTGGTGCTGTGTGTAAACGTCGCCACTGGGGAGACAAAGGCGGTCGGGCGTGGTGCTGGCCACCCACCCCTTCGTGTGCCGTGCCGGCCTTCATAGGTGCTCGCTAACAGCACTTGCCCCTACAGTCTGTTACAGGCTACACGGGGGATCTTTGTGTGTGTGTGTACAAAGACAAAGACCCCCCGTGTAGCCTGGTCGTTACACGGGTGGGTGGCCAGAACCACGCCCGAGCGCCTTTGTCTCTCCAGGGGCGATGTTTACACACGTGTACACACACACACGTGTACACACACACACGTGTACACACACACACACCCAACCCACAGTGCCGATAGCCTTCGTAGGTGCCGCTACTCGCTAACAGCACTTGCCCCAACAGTCTGTTAAGGCTATACGGGGGAGCTTTGTCTTTGTACTCGTTAACAACAAGTTTTGGTGTGTGTACAATTTTGAACACGTTTTGTGTGCGTGAATGCGTGTGCTCACATTTTGTGTATGTGTGTGTATGTATGTGTGTGTATTATGTGTGTGTACGTATGTGTGTGTACGTGTACACGCAGCACACAATTTGCGTGTGTATGTGTGTATGTGTGTGTATGTATGTGTATGTGTGTGTATGTGTGTGTACGTGTACACGCAGCACACAATTTGTGTGTGTGTATGTGTGTGTACGTGTACACGCAGCACACAATGTGTGTGTGTATGTGTGTGTACGTGTACACGCAGCACACAATTTGTGTGTGTATGTGTGTATGTGTGTGTACGTGTACACGCAGCACACAATTTGTGTGTATGTGTGTGTATGTATGTGTATGTGTGTGTATGTGTGTGTACGTGTGTGTACGTGTACACACACATACACACAATTTGTGTGTATGTGTGTGTATGTGTGTGTACGTGTACACACACATACACACACAATTTGTGTGTGTATGTGTGTATGTGTGTGTACGTGTGTGTACGTGTACACACACACATACACACAATTTGTGTGTATGTGTGTGTGTGTGTACGTGTACACACACACACACGTACACACAATTTGTGTGTGTGTATGTGTGTGTATGTGTGTGTGTACGTGTACACACACACACATACACACAATTTGTGTGTATGTGTGTGTATGTGTGTGTACGTGTACACACACATACACACACAATTTGTGTGTGTATGTGTGTATGTGTGTGTACGTGTGTGTACGTGTACACACACACATACACACAATTTGTGTGTATGTGTGTGTGTGTGTACGTGTACACACACACACACGTACACACAATTTGTGTGTGTGTATGTGTGTGTATGTGTGTGTGTACGTGTACACACACACACATACACACAATTTGTGTGTATGTGTGTGTATGTGTGTGTACGTGTGTGTACGTGTACACACACACATACACACAATTTGTGTGTATGTGTGTGTGTGTGTACGTGTACACACACACACACGTACACACAATTTGTGTGTGTGTATGTGTGTGTGTGTGTACGTGTACACACACACACATACACACAATTTGTGTGTATGTGTGTGTGCTGCTCTCCGAACCCGGTGTCCCGAGTTAAATTCCCGCTCACGGCCAACACCACCAACGACGATTGTCTGAACCGGTCCTGGGGCTCCCCTAGGTCGACTCGGCCTCAAATGAGTACTTGGTGCGGTGGTGCAGTTAAACATCGTGGTTGTTGTTGTTGGTTCCCGTGACTGCGTCGTGATCTCCGCGTCCGTGAAGGAGTTGTGTGGATTGTCATCTGTAGACTTTCACAAATCAGCCCCGCGGGGTGGCCTCGCCGAGTCTCGTGTCGACGTTTCTGGCGAGGGTCCTGCCCAGTGGGTTTTTGTTGTTCATCTGCAGTAGAGGATGTTGCTGCTGCTGCCCGCTGCTGCTGCTGCCCACTGCTGCTGCTGCCCACTGCTGCTGCTGCTGCCCACTGCTGCTGCTGCTGCCCACTGCTGCTGCTGCCCACTGCTGCTGCTGCTGCCCACTGCTGCTGCTGCTGCCCACTGCTGCTGCTGCCCACTGCTGCTGCTGCTGCCCACTGCTGCTGCTGCTGCCCACTGCTGCTGCTGCCCACTGCTGCTGCTGCTGCCCACTGCTGCTGCTGCTGCCCACTGCTGCTGCTGCCCACTGCTGCTGCTGCCCACTGCTGCTGCTGCCCACTGCTGCTGCTGCTGCCCACTGCTGCTGCTGCTGCCCGCTGCTGCTGCTGCTGCCCGCCGCTGCTGCTGCTGCCCACTGCTGCTGCTGCCCACTGCTGCTGCTGCTGCCCACTGCTGCTGCTGCTGCTGCCCACTGCTGCTGCTGCTGTTGCTGCTGCCCGCTGCTGCTGCTGCCCACCGCTGCTGCTGCTGCCCACTGCTGCTGCTGCCCACTGCTGCTGCTGCCCACTGCTGCTGCTGCTGCCCACTGCTGCTGCTGCTGCCCACTGCTGCTGCTGCTGCCCGCCGCTGCTGCTGCTGCCCACTGCTGCTGCTGCCCACCGCTGCTGCTGCTGCCCACTGCTGCTGCTGCTGCCCACTGCTGCTGCTGCTGCCCACTGCTGCTGCTGCTGCCCACTGCTGCTGCTGCTGCCCACTGCTGCTGCTGCTGCCCACTGCTGCTGCTGCTGCCCGCCGCTGCTGCTGCTGCCCACTGCTGCTGCTGCCCACCGCTGCTGCTGCTGCCCACTGCTGCTGCTGCTGCCCACTGCTGCTGCTGCTGCTGGTGCTTGGTGTCACCCCAGCACAGTTCATTCGCTCGTTGTTTGTGAATGGGCCACGCCAGGAGTCGCCACGCCACCGGCACGCGCAGCGGCCACGCTCTTTGTGAACGACGTCACGGGGATCCGTCCATTCGTGTCCACAGCACACACACACACAGCACACACAACACACACACAGCACACACAACATATAGCATACACACACACAGCACACACACACAGACAGCACACACACAGCACACACACACACACCACACACAGCAAACACACAACACACAGACAGCACACACACAACACACACAGCACACACAACATACACACAGCACACACACACAGCACACACACACAGCACACACACACACCACACACAGCAAACACACAACACACACACAACACACACAGCACACACACAGCACACACACAACACACACACAGCACACACACAACACACACAACATACACACAACACACACAGCACACACAACATACAGCATACACACACACAGCACACACACACAGACAGCACACACACAGCACACACACACACCACACACAGCAAACACACACACAGCACACACACACAACACACAGCACACACAACACACACAGCACACACACAATACACACAGCACACACACACACACCACACACAGCAAACACACACACAGCACACATAACACACACACAGCACACACACAGCACACACAACACACACAGCACACACACACACAGCATACACACACAGCACACACAACACACACAACACACACACAACACACACAGCACACACAGCACACACACACAGCACACACAACACACACAGCACACACACACAACACACACAACACACACACAACACACACACACAGCACACACACACAGCACACAGCACACACACAACACACACAACACACACATAACACACACAACACACACAGCACACACACACAACACACACAACACACACACAACACACACACACAGCACACACACACAACACACACAACACACACACAACACACACAACACACACACAACACACACAACACACACAGCACACACACAACACACACAACACACACACAACACACACACACAACACACACAACACACACAGCATACACACACAGCACACACAACACACACACAGCACACACACACAACACACACAACACACACACAACACACACAGCACACACAACACACACAACACACACAACACACACACAACACACACAGCACACACAACATACAGCATACACACAGCACACACACAGCACACACAACACACAGCACACACACACAGCACACACAACACACAGACAGCACACACACAACACACACAGCACACACAACATACAGCATACACACACAGCACACACAACACACACACAGAACACACACACAACACACACAACACACACACAACACACAGCAAACACACACACAGCACACACACACAACACACAGCACACACAACACACACAGCACACACACAATACACACAGCACACACACACACACACAGCACACACACACACAGCACACACACACAACACACACACAACACATACAACACACACACAGCACACACAGACAGCACACAACACACACAGCACACAACACACACATCACACACACACAACACACACAGCACACACACACAACACACACAACACACACAGCACACAACACACACAACACACACAGCATACACACACAACACACACAGCACACAACACACACAACACACACAGCATACACAGCATACACACACAACACACACAGCACACAACACACACAACACACACAGCATACACACACAACACACACAGCACATCATAGCAGTATTAACCAGGGCGGGCCAGCGAATTAGACCGCGAACCTAGTCAACTACCCAGCTGAGTGTTGAGTGCTGGGTAGTTACTGGGTAGTTGCTGGGTAGTTGTTGGGTAGTAGTTGGGTAGTTGCAGGGTGCTGGGTAGTTGCAGGGTAGTTGCTGGGTAGTTATTGGGTAGTTGCAGGGTGCTGGGTG